TCTACTTTCAAACTTGCTGGTTGTTAAGGCGAAGGGGTATGATCGGAATGTTGTCTATTGTCTTACACGTGAACAACTCATTGTTCTTTCTAGGTTCGCCACTTCCGCCACGTGAAAGTAAAAAACCCACGGTCATAGCTCGCAGCTGTTATCATTATTACGTCGGCCGCCTCGGAATCCATCCTAACAGGGGGTGGTTGGGGTCTATTTCGTAAAATATTTCGTAAATTTCGACAGGGTAATAAGGAATATCTTTATCCAACCGACAAAACATCCACTCGGCCCTTCTCATACTATCTTCAGAAACCTCGGGAATAGAGTCACCGGTAATTTCAGACAAAAGATAGGGAATACCTTTGTAATATTTCCCTAGTTTTAATTTTTTCAATGTCTTCCTTAAGCTTTGTGGTGTTGGTTCTTTTAAGTCAAGCGCAATCATTTCCATTACTTCGTTGTCTAAATTTACCGGCCGAAGACCTTGGATGTGACTCATCCAGTCCCTAAAGTATTTCATTCTCTTGTATGGGGTCTTCTTACGACCTCCGTTAGAGTAATATTGTTCCCTGGTAGCACAAGGTACGGCATTGCGAATGTTCTTACCACACTCGTAGCACTGTGCTGACGTGTCATATTCTATTTGCATTTTTTTTTGCCACAACAAATATACTTATTTGGCTTACTAGGTACAAACTTGGGTTTCAAGCACTTTATACAAAAATCATTAGCAAATTCTTTACATTCTTCGCACTCCATATATAGACTAACATATTTAACCAAATAGACGCTGGATGCGGGTATGTCCCGGACAAACCTAGGTTCTACAAACGCGGGTGAACCTCGGATGGGTGGTGTTTTGGAACCCCCATCCCCTATACTACTGAATTACCTGCTATATTATAATGACGTGTTTTTTTTGGAACTATTGCCTTTTTCGACTTAGATACGTCTTATCTACGTCTAAATGCTTTTTATATACTCTAGCACACTGGCACGCATAGAAGAAACGTCTTTTTTCTACCTCCAGGATCGCGCTCTTACACCTTGCTAATGCCACAAGGGTAATCTTACCAGTCAAGATTATTGCGAGTATGTMATCTAAACGCACGACATGCGTATACTGCGGGTTGTGTAGGTTAGGTGGAACCYCTGTTCAAGAAGTATCAGGGACCCGCACACATCTTCTCAGTAGTGTCTAGTACAAGACCCWATGCATATCAATCAATTTTGTTCAAAGCCAATGCAACTTTTTATTTGATTTTATCATTGATACATATGCTTGCCGACTCAAGTGAAAAACGCCTGCGCATTCTTTGRATCTGTATAAATCCGTATGCAAATTAGTCAAAACATAGTGTAAACATGCCTGATAAATTGGATTTCACAAAATGCCAAAGCTTAGTGTCCATGCTTGAAACTAAGGCTAATTCTTTCATATTGTGTTTGTTAATACAGTATCTTGATCTGACAAAAGTGGAAAACAAAGATTTATTTTCTCAGTCAAAATCTTCAAAATTCTTAGAAAACGTGATGAAATGCACGCATGCGCAAACGTTTTTCTTTAGTGTCATACTCGCCATGTCTGTGCATAATATCAAAAGTATAGTTTGCATTATATTTTCCCTTCTAGCAGAGCCTATTTTCCTTTTGTTTTGGTTGAGAGAGAAAAATAGACTCTGCCGATGTAGGACGTTATTTCTGTCGCGCATGCGTGGCATAACTTAGCAACGCTGTCATGATTTTGACAGCCGCTCTCGTCAAACAATGTTTGGCGCCACGGTGTCTTACATTTGCTCATGCGCGCTACATGTAATCGGTTAAAAACCGGTTTTAAGACTGGTTTTGTTCGTCCACAATCGTGGACGGCGGTGTATCAAAGGAAACGCTCTACATCGGCAGAGTCTCCTTCCTCCCCGCCTGAACGAAGGGAGAGAAAGAGAAGAGAGACTCTGCTAGCAGGGAACATTATATTATGAATCATCACAAAACTCTGAAACTAAACACAGTACCAGACTGCAGTTCTGAATCGATACCAGACTRATCATGGTAAGGAACGCTTTTTTTGTTGAGCATTTCCCATTTCTTTGCTGAGGCTAGTTCGTCAATCTTTTTCTTGTAGCCCATGCTCTCAGTATCATAAGCATCTTGGCGAATAGTGAAGCAAATGATACCACCTGAAAAATAAATACGAATTTCGTATGCTTCAAGAGGACAGGGCAGGAAGAAGGAGATAAGGAGAGGAGGGGAGTGGGAGGCATCACTTTTTTCAGAACCAGCTGAGTTTACCTTTAGAATAAACTCAAGGACAACCAATCAGAATTGAGGATTCAACAATGTATTTTGATTCATTTTCATGATCATGGCAAGAGAGCCAATGAAATATGAATTCTTCCATCTTTAAATTGATTGTAAATGCTAGTCAAATTCATCAGGCAGAATTCCATTTCAATAGACCTATCCCGAATTCGCTTGACTGGTCACGAAACAATGGTTTCAAGTCGAGGTTGAACTTGAYGAATAAAAGAATCAAGTTCAGTCTCGACTCCAAACCATTGTTTCGTGGTCASTCAARCGRATTCGGGATAGATAGGTCTGTTGCCTACATTRTATTCACCCCCTGCTCCAAAAATGCTATCCGAAAATGATAATTCATAATTCCTTTTGGGGAATGCGGTCAACACAGTCTATGATATTACTATATATTCCTTGTTTATTCACCAAGCAAATATAGCATTACCATACTTCTGGACATTGTACAAACTAGGTAAGCGGGCCAATTGGGAGGATTATAATCTTGTGCATTGTTGTTGTTTTTTTACTTTCTGRCACCCTATTCTGAWAAMTTTAACAAATGAGATTTACCTGGTTTAACAAGTCGCACAATCTCATCTAGTGCAGGAGGTTTGACATGTGCAACAGTGATCGTACCAGAAGAAAYKAGTGCATCATATTGACCTGTCTGGATCTGATCTATCTTCTTCTCACTGATTGGTGCACAGATCAGATTCTTGTAAATYCCTTTWTYAARTGCAATGTTCAGCATTTCTTGAGATATGTCCAGCCCATCAATGTCAGTGTACCCWAGATCTTTCAGGTGCTGTCCTAGATAACCTGTCCCCGCCCCAGCATCCAGGATTTTTTGATTGAACCTTCCATCCTGGAAGAGGCGCTCCATTTCAGCTTCGAAGAATTCTGAACATGGTTTATGGACCATATAACCAAAGGTCGCTGAATCCTAYAAAAGTAAGAAAAGACCTAGTTGTTTCTATGGTTACCAGTCGTTTCGCACAATTGCCTTTTCGCACGAACCCGTTCGCACAACTATCACCTGTTCGCACAATTCCAAGAGTCGTTYAGCACAACTTTTACATAACTATATATATGAAATCAAAATTACTTCTCTAATCTTTAGAAGTATATTTCTTTGAAAAACAACTTATATATTTGATAAAATTAATAATAACATGCGTTTTAAGTGCTTGTTTCGATAGCGTTAGAACGACCTCACTTTGTGCGTTTCCCGGTTAAAAGATCGCTCCCTCTTCTTATGTGAACATTCAAATTCTACTTCTAAGCACTACACTTTATTTTTGACTTTATTATTTGCACTAAAAAAGTAAGACGAAATGATCTATTGCTTTTTTGGAATAAATTTGAGGTCATCATCTGAATGTAAACGCCAAAAACTTAGCGATTGAGTGGAACAATCGA